AAACCTTTCAAGCCTTGATTTCTCACTTAGCCCAGGGCCTCCTATCTGGCTTGCTGTGGGAAGCCTGTTACAGTAAAGCCTTCTGCTGAAGGACGGATTTGGGAGAAAGAGCCAGGGCAAAAGTGAGAAAGGACACCTCGTCCTGTATTTCACGTCAATTGAAATAATTCCTTAATTTTCTTTCATTTTAGTGATTACAAAACATTTAGATTTTCTTTCTAGCAGCTTCAAAAATTTCAGTATTCGCTAGAAAATACACAAAAATAATGTATGATCCTATCATTCTGTGCCACGTTATTACTTTCTGTTTGGAAAGCCCACAGCATACACTGATTAGCTAGACACTTCCATTATAGGATGTCAGAAGCATTCTTGGATATTATTCTTTTTCATGAATGTATTATATCTCATACCAGGAACGTAGAACATTTATTACACTATATTGCTATTGCTGGAAATACTGACTGTTTTAAATCTTGCTTACCATCAATAATGGTACCAAGAAGTATCCTTACCATATGTCTTGGTCTCAGCTTTTGTTATTTTCGGATTAATTCTCTAGAACAAAATATCATGAAAAATGCAGTATGACATTTATAAGGCTTTTTTGTAACTGAGAGAGAATGCACAAACGTCTGCTCACTGTGCAGAGTATGAAATGGCCTGTTTTCCTTCACATCACTAACATTAAGTTGGGACATGAAATACCATCGCTCTCCCTACTCATCACAAGTGTGATCACTGTCATCCTTGTACAGGAAGAAGAAGAACCAGAAAAAAGCATGGCGAATTTATTAAATCTAATTTGGAGGTGACTTGGGGCTTTTAGATGTGAAGACCCACAGGCCTGGGGGAAAATTACTTTTATGCTTAAGTTGAATGAAGAATGGACAGGGATATAGAAATATGATTGGACCAATGCCTGCTGCCCTTGTGTGACCTACTGACAGCAGGCTGAAGGAGGGGATATCTGTGTACTCAGATCTTTTTATGCTCTGTATGGAGTTTCTATTGTCCCAGGTTTTGGTCAGGACCCACTGCATGGAGGATCTGCAAAGCATGAAGGAGAAAGCAATTTTTGTACTTTTTTTGGCTTTTTTTTTGGGAGAAAGTGTTCTCAATTCTTTGATCCTCCTGAAGGAAGAGGAGTTCTGATTTCTAGGATTGGAGGGCAGAAGACATTCAGGGAACCCTTCTTCAGGGATCCTCCAGGGTCCAAAGAATTCACCATAGCAAGATGCTATTTTAGGGGTCATTGTGTTCTAAAGCCAAAGAAGTGTAATCTGCCTTTATTCTTTGCCATTCTGGAAAATGGAGACAGACATCCCTTTAAACTCCAGACATCTATGTTTATTACCATTGAGATTTCTTCCGGAAACCAAACCAAATTGTTGTTTATGCTTCACATTTCAGATTGTGTAGGGGCTTAGTGACCCAGTGAGCCCTAAACCCAGATGTGTTTATTCACCATCTGCACATGACCTCTGACATACTCCTTTCCTAGTTTCCTCACTAAAATATTCTATTTTTCAATGCTTTTTATATTGAGGAGATTTGGAAGGAAAGCAGCCTGATAAAATTTATTCTCCCTAATTTGTGAATAATGAATAGCACTTTAACCTGTACTTTTTAGTGAGTATTCTTAATAATCAAGGGTTGGAGAATCTCTAGGTGTATAATTTTGGGTCCATTAACAAAATGAAATGAAAAAGAATTCCCAAGTAGAAAAGGATGAGTTTTAAAAGGGAAAAGACCATTTCCCTTGCCCTGGAATCAATTCCAGATTCAGCTCCTCTGCACTAATCATGTTTCTTTTCTAGCTGGTTCCCTTTCTCTTGTACTATCTTTAATGGAGAGGTGTTCATCAAGTTACACTCTTGAATCTCTAGGGAATCTTGGAAGCTTCCAAAGTCTGGGGCCAGCACTAGACATCTGACTGAGCCTCATGTGGGGCTCAAGTAACTGTACTTTCAAAACAATCCCTGGTGATTCCTGCATGTAAAATTGTTGTTTTAATACCACCCACTTCCCCAAAGAGCTGAGGTTTTCACTCAGCCTCCGGTTATAGGGAAGAGGCACCATGGAGGAAAAGCACCAATTAAAAGGGAAAACAGACGAAACAGACCAAAGCAAAAACCAAACCGCCCCAAAACAAAACACAAAGGATAAAAAGACTCAATTAAGAAGCTCTTAATAAGTAATGCTTTATAAAAAGAAGGAAACAGGACCAGAAACAACTCATAAATTAATGCTACTGCTCTTTTAATTTCACTGGGTAGATGTCTTCTCTCAGGCAGTTTCACCAGTGAGTGACTAGATGCTGGACTGCCAATAACGGAACACTTCTTGCAACTTTTTTTTTCGTACTGTCTCCTATCTCAGAAGGGCACTTGTCCCTTGGGGATCCCTTAGACCCTGTATATGAAATCATTCCCTCCCTTCCAGGCCAAACAGTGTACCACTTATCTGAAAGTGCAATTTTATGCTTTATGCAGATATATTCAAATAATTATGCTAATAAAAGCCAGTAAAAAAAGAGAGACAAACCTATAGTGGGCTGTGCCCTCAATGAATAGTCAAATATTCATTGTTAAGAAACACCTGGCAGAGGCTCTACCTCATTAACAGACCCAAATCTTGGCCCCTTCCTCATACAGCTGCCTTTGGAGGACCATGAGGCCACCAGGCTGAGCAGCTTGTGGGGTCTCCACTCCACTCCAAGCAGATGTTCAGGGCAGTAGAGAGCTATAAGTTAACTGGCTGAAAATGTAGGCAGACTCTGCAACTGGGCTGCTCTGAGCATATGGGGCACAGGTGATCTGGTGCAAATGCAGCTGCCCCTGCCTGATGCCCCCCACCTTCCTGCGCAGCTTTTGCAGGCAGCTGAGAATTCAAGGCCACAAGCTCTGCACCTTCCACTCTCAGCCTGGAGGCCTCTGCTCTGATGGTTAATACTCCTGTCTTGCCAGACTTCTCAGGTGTGGCTCCCATGGACTTTACTAAAGCTGGCTTCTTTCACTTCCTGAAACAGCTCTTAATCTGTGTCTGACCCCCACATCAGCTCTGCCACCAGCGGTGAGCACTCCCCACTCCTATCATCTGCCTGGCAGAGAGTGGCCCTTGAACATGCACTTCCCATGTGGTCATTCTCATGCTAAAGACTCCCTCACAGACCCCCAAGTTCTAATAGTGTTTTTGGTCCCTGGATACACATTGGAATCACCCAAGGAGCTTCAGAAAACAGTGCAGATTGCACAGGTCCTCTCCCCAGAAATTCTGATGGAACTATTTTGCTAGAAGTACTCTCTAGAATCATTTGTCAAGGGTTTTTGAAACCCCCTGTGACCTTACAAGTGAGGGTCCTGGGTGCCTACTGGTCTGTCTTCCCATCTCCTTGCTTGTTCTTTGTGCTATCATTTCTCTAGACAGCATCTCTGCCTCCTTTCTCTTACTCTGTGAGTTACAAACTCTGGTTCATTTTCAGAACTTCCCCTCTCTGGACATCACCTCTGTGAAACATTCTTGGGTTCCTCAAGGGAGCTAGATTTCTTTCATTTCTATTCATAGATTACTGTTCTACCTGTAGTCACAATTATTGTTTTTAGTGATGATTATTCTTATCTTTATTATTGGCTTGCTTCTCTGTCACACTAACCTGACATCAAAGGATGGTATTTTAATCCTTTTTACATGGATCTCATCTATTTAACTATGTGCTCCCCCGGATGGGGACTGCATGTTAATATCCATGCTCATCCTTTCCAGGCACCATTTGGCTCCTCCTGTTCTGTGCATCTGAGTTAGTCGGCATGAGTGCTTGTTTCTGACTGACCTGACCTCTTCTGCATTCCCTCCTGTATAACCCTTACCAGTCAATGCCCCCCTCTATTAGGTGAGATAACTAAAGCAATGAGGAGAGCAACTGGACAGATAGAAATGCACAGCAAAAGATTGTCTCTGCTATTGTTACAGAAGCGGCTTTGTGTCCAGATCAGTTAATAAACTTGCTTCCTTCCAGCCAGCACTTCATACCAACAGCACATGACAGAAAAAACAGTTTCAAAAGAAGCAGTCAAAATTAGTTCTCAATGTGGTTTTCCCAATCAGATAGATCAGCAGGTAGTGTGCTGTTTGAAAAAAGATACTGTGGGACAAAGGTACAAAAAAGAAAAGAAAAGAAGTTTAATTAAATAAGCAGCCTCTCAGCCTTCACAGTGCTCTAGCAGTTCACTCCAGATGCCCTCTGATACACAGTAGGTGTGGTAGTATTTACAGATGCTGAGTTAGAGTTTTGTGAAGATTAGTAACATGTCATACTGTGGGTAATTAGTTATGGAAAGAAATTGGAATTGAGCCAGTCTGCATTCTCAGTGAGCGCAAGAGTCTGCCTCGCATGTTGTAGGAGTTGAACTTTCTTCATCCACTTTTAAAAAATGAGGCTGGAATGTAACGTAGTGGTTGAGCGTTTACTTTCCATGTGTGAGGCCCAAGGTTTGATCCTATATGCCACTCAAAATAAAAAGATCTTGTTTTAAAAATGAGTAATAAGTGGCTTGTATAAAAGCCCAAAAAACTAAGAATGACTGTAATTCCATCATCCAAATGCTACTTCCATTTTGCCATTTTCTTCTTTTATTTCCCTTTTTCCTCTGTAGTTATACAACAACAGATCAACCATATGACTTGTCTTTGGCTGAAATATATATATATATATATATATATATATATATATATATATTTGTGTTTTGCACTTTTGATTTTTGTAAAGAAAATGGCTTAGTCACTTAAGGAAACAAAGAAGGACAAAGAGGAAAATTGAATTAAATAGGAGGAAAAGGAGGACACGGACTCTCCTGAGGCAGCTCGGGGTCTGGGTTTGTGCAAAGAGAGACAGAAATCTGGTCTCAGCATGACACTGACCACAGAGGCTGGGAAACCAGCCCCCCCCCAAACTCCCCAATCAATCATCCCCACGCTTGCCCTTCCTGTTTCTTTTGCAGGCAGCAGCTTGAATGATGGCTTGTGGCACTCGGTTAGCATCAATGCCAGGAGGAACCGCATCACTCTCACTCTGGATAATGAGGCAGCATCACCAGCTCAAGACACCACCTCGGTGCAGATTTATTCTGGAAGTAACTACTATTTTGGAGGTAAATTCTTCAGTCTGGAAAAGTGAAAGTAAAGTTGGGAGGGGGTGTAGTGGCCAGTTACTTCACCAGAATGATTCCTGCTTTGTCAATTAGACAGTTCTCCCAACACACACACTCAAGCCCAAAATAGTGGGAGGCAAAATCACTCACAGCTGTGCAAATATAAATTATCTAGGCCACTGCTGAGGAAGAATATTTCAGCTGTAAGAGCTGGTGTTATATAACAAGTCCAAAGGACATTTGTAGCAGTGCCAAGGTCTGTGATCACGTTGGAAATGAGAAACTCAGCTGAAAAATGAGAGAAAGTGAATTAAGGATGTGAAGTGCCCACGATGGGAAGAATCAGATGAGAGGCACCAACAGACTACACAGCTGGCTCAGTCACTCCACGGACACCTTCTGCTCTGAGCCCTGGTCTTCACATTCCCACCTCTCTGAGGTCACCTGTGCCCTCTGGAATGCAACAGCAGGATATGGGCAGTAGCCAGGAAGTTTCACGTGGAGAAGGAAACTTCACTTACACCCTGATTCTGATGCCTGGTGAATCCTGGAAAACATTAATGATAAAATCACAAGGGTAAATTGATGAGGATATGTTAGATTTCTAATGCATCTTTATATAGGCATATATGTATATATATATATATATATATATACACACACATATATAAAATTTAGTTTTACAATCTATTTATTTTATTAGAAAAACAGCCTCAGTTTATATTGTAGAAACCTTCTGTGAAGGGAAGTCGATCCAAATGCCTAGCTAAGCCTGCTGTATTATCCCTGGAATTCCTTCCTGAAATGTGAGAGAGTAAGTTCACTCTAGGAACTGCTGGCAGAGTTCAGGGAGAGCAAGATTTCATTATCCAGAATGAGAGGTGTAAGTTCCACTCAGTGATAACAAGCCAGACCAGCATAGGCAAGGCTGCTGGATCCATCCCCAGTACCACACACATACATGCACACACACACACACACACACACACACACACACACACAGGCACATGCATGCACTTACACAGAGAATGGCACCTGCTCTATGGCAAGGAATGGACAAATTGGTCTCAATTATTGCAAGGCATGGCCTGGGTTCTGCGCTGTAGTTACCAATTCTATTTCTATTAGGAAATTGGAGAGATATAAAATTAGGCACTTCAAGTTCTCTCTCTCTCTCTCTCTCTCTCTCCCCCCCCCCATTTCTCTCTCTCTGAATAGAACACAGGGCCTGCCATGTGGTAAACATGAACTCTTTAACTCTGTTGTCTCTTACCTCCAAACTCCGGACTATACCAACAATTTCTCTACTATAAATGAAATATAGTTAAAGCTGTGAAATAGGGACTTTTCACAGGTGCAGGATGTGTGATGATGTCTCCTGGGAAGGAACAGTACGGAGTAAAATCCCTGAGGTTGTTTTTTGGGCAAGGACAGGGCTCTGTCCTTCATCCGAGATATAACACGTGCCTTCAGAAAGAGGACACACTCTGTGCCTTGTGAAACTTATTTCACTTGTCTCATGCTGAAGCTTTGTAAGCTTGGTAATAATATCCCTGTTTAATAGATAAAAAGATGGATGTTTGTGTTATAAAATAATTTGTACAAAGCATTGAAAGTAGCAATTAGTAGAATAGGGATTCAATTTCAGACCTGAGTTCTCCATGACCCACCAGTGAAAATAAAAAGAAGAAAATAATGTTGGAACATGCATCTTGGGCTTCCCCAAAAGTGTACTATAATTTTATATCTTGTGTACAATTTTAGTAGCAGAGCAAGAAAAATGATCATGAATTTATTTTTGGTGAAAATGCTTTTGAATAATTAGGGTCTAATAATCAAATGACATGGCACAAAGACAAAATTACTACCCTCACCATTTGAAGAAGTGCCTTTGGTGGGGGGAGGTTGGAGGTGGCTGGCTTTGGAGATAGATTCATCTATGATTTGCATGGTCTTTAAACAGATGCCCCACATGTAGTCTTATAGACTTAAGGAATATAAAAAATGGGTTTTAGTAATAATAGTCAACTTACATAAATTCTCTCTATAGCTCCAATTAGAAGTGGTTGCATCGCTCTTCATTTTATGGTGTGCCTGTGAGCTTTTAGCCAGCTGCTGGGCTTCAGCTCGGCAGTGACTGTCTAGCAGAGATGGCTGAAATAATTCCCAATTATTTATGGGTTATTGCCATGTTTTCAGGCTTGCATCCCATATGCTCAGAACCTATTAAAACCATTGAGATGGAGTTTAAAAAGAGCAGAAGCATTCAAATACCTGCATCACCCTATACCTGTTTTAATGGGAAGTAGCTATCAAGCTATGCTAAATCAGTGTAATGTAGTCTTTAAAAAAGAGCACTGTTTAAAATGGTATGGTGTTAATCTTTCACTCATCTCATTACACATCTATAACTATATGCGTTTAAGCCCACGGTTCCCATAAAGCCCAGATTTACTGCGCACATTATTTCAAACTTCCAGGTACATTCTTTCTGTGTATTTTTCTTGGGATCTAAACCCATTAATGGTAACAATTAAGCAGACAGTTACCCTGCTGTTCTTGCAAAAGGACTAATTTCCTTTGAAAGTGTAATTCTGAGTTCAGTTGTACATTTAGATGTGTGTTTCAAGGCAGCTGAGATTCCTAAGTGATCATGATAGGCTGCTTCCTTGCAATGAGTTAAGGATGCCATGGAAAACGTGGCCAATAGCTTACTGATGGGAAAAGAGTAAGAAGGAGGTAAGCGGAGTGGTCTGACTGTTCCCTTTAGCGCACACTGTAGTTTCCTAATAAGCAACTGGGTAGTCTGGTTTGCACTATTTCTGTCCCCTCCCGAAAATGGTAGGATTTACAGCAAAAGTGTGTGCGTGGCTGTGAATGAGAAAGGACTAGAATAATTACACCTCAAGGACTTCCGTCACTAGGTCGCCAAAGCAATGACTGATCATTTCAGCATTCTTCTTCATCTTTTTTCTCTGTCCCACAGGGTGCCCTGACAATCTCACCGATCCCCAATGTTTAAATCCCATTAAGGCTTTCCAAGGCTGCATGAGGCGCATCTTTATTGATAACCAACCCAAGGATCTCATTTCTGTTCAGCAAGGTTCCCTGGGGAATTTTAGTGATTTACACATTGATCTGTGTAGCATCAAAGACAGGTAATTATTGTCTCTTCTCCTCTGTTCTCCTACCCCCTTCCCATCCTCACTGAGTTTCTTTAAACAAAATTCTAATCCACCAACATTAGCCACATTAGACTTAATTGAGTTGCCTAATAGACAATATTTCTGAAAGGATTTCAGACCCGGAGAAAAATGATTTAAATTAGTTGAATCTCTCTTCATGTTGACTTGCAGTAAATGGGATATGCAAATTAAATCAAAATATGAATTTGTGAAAGGATTAAAATTTTATGCATAAACAACATCTGATTACTTTGAAGTTAAGAGTAAAGCAAAAAGGAGGAAGAGATTGCTCGTTGCCTAAACCCTTTCATTCTTCTCTACAGTGGGTTTCCTGTCACAAGCGCATAGCACCCAGGCTCCTGGGAACCCTACAGTCAAGGCTTTGCAGTGCGTGGCTGCACACTGTGCAGAGCAGCACTCTGCAGGCTCTGTTCTCTGCTATCACATGACTTCTTTGGCCTTGAGGAGATGAGACTGTGGCTATCAAGAATCTGCTCTTTTGCTCTGTAATCCAAGGACCTTTCCCAAACTCATTTTATCTCTCCATTTCTCCTGGGATCTGGTCCTTCTTATAATGGAAGTTTCTAGATTTAAAGATACTGCAGGAAACCAAAGAGAACAGATTCTGAATTCCCAGAAAAATTTACTGTGTGCCTTCTCTAACACTGATCTCCATTGTTCTTTTACTGCTGCTCGCTTCAGTCAAATGTCATTGACGAAATCTATGAACACTATCTAAGTGCTTACCTATGTGCTGGGGATAGAGTTTCTCTGCTCACACTTCAGCAAGAAATTAATCAGCCATTATTACAAAGTGGGATAAATGACAAGAAATGCATGTTTATTTGTGGGCAAAGTATCTTGGCCCTGGGAATGAGCTCAAGGAAATTTGGGGACATGATCCTGAGTTCAGTTTTCAAGGAGGAAACAGTAAGGCTTTGGAAAAGGTGGTAGTGAGTGGAGTTTGGCAGAACATAGTGTTGGGCAAAGACATAAAATTGGAGCAAGTGTGGTTTGTAGGGACAAATTTTGACAATACCAGATACTATTTTTTGCATTTAAAAGTTTTGATTGGGATGGATTTATGAATGATGATGTGTAATAAATTCTTTGGGAACATTTTTTTTTTCTCAACAGTGTGTAATTAGTGATATGTCTTACTATTCACAGTGTCTTTAATTCCATCCATATAGCTCAATGTAATAGTAAATAAGTGTGGATGGAGGGCATGGCTTGAACATATCAAGACTAATCAGGGGGAACCTTGGGTACTAGTGGAATCGGCTTTATGTGAGAATTTGGAGTAAAGTGGTCAGTTTTGCCAACTACTCAGGAACAAAAAAGTGGGCAGAGACTAAATTGCAGAAGTATGAAAAGTAGTAAGTGCCTCTGCTAAATGGTGCACAGATCAGTTGTTCAGATCATGGTCTCTGTTTACAGTGAGCAAGGCCCATAGAATTTGGTGGAACTTTACAGTTGGCTTCTTTGTTAATATCATTACACATGGGATAATCAGCAAACCACACAACTTCCTGGATCTTGTGCTTTAATTTTTTTTTTTCTATTTGACCAACTGGAAAAGTGGATGATAAAATATGTGCTTCATTAAAATGTGCTTGTTTCATGGTCTTAGAATAAAAATTATCACAAACAGCCACCCCTTCAGTGGTTATGAATGATAAGGGGAAGGTTGCTGCTTTTATCAACCAGCCTTTTGCAAAATGTGGATCAATACAGAGCCTTTGCCAGTGGGGTCCCTTTGGTACCTTAATTTCTAATCAAGAAAGCTTTCATTATTTTTGATTACATGACAGTCATTGCCATCTACACTGCACCATTACTTCTGTGTAATTGTAGACTTGTCTAATTATGTTATATGCAATTGTGTTTTAGTTAATTGTATAATATAGAATTGTTTTTATGTTAGTGGGTAAATGGTATGGTTTTTCTTAATTTAGCAGACATTTTCTCTAACAGAAAGGAAACCTGTAGCAAAAAGCTTTACTTGAATTATTATTGATTGAATTCACATTTAATATTTGTTGGATAGGAACAAGCATTCAATGGGCAGGTGATTCCTGAGTTTTGATTTTCGTTTTTAATGTATCAATCAATGTGAACTTGATTCTACCGTAAGTGCAAGTCTTTGCCTTCCAGGCGCTGGGTACCAGGGAGGAGAGATGGGAAAAGAGTTCACTGTGGTTTTCCTTGCCTGGTTTCTTCTTTAGGAGAAGAAATACCCATGAGAACAGCGTGGGTATTTCTCTTTGCTCCCCACCTCCTTCCATGCCCTTCGTAGGAACAAGCAAAAAACCCCTTCTTTGCCCCTGTAGCCTCCTTCTTCAATGTGAAATGGAATCTGGCCTTCTAGCTGATTTTCTGTTAGAACTGTTTACACATTTAAGTTTTAGCACTGGTTATTATGTAGAAGTCAGATACAGGAAATCCCAGGTAGTTTATGGAGGAGGAAAGAATAGCCCAAAACCTTAAGAGATTTCCTTTATCAAGGGCGATGGACAGGCCCCGTTTTCACTGGTGGCTGATGATTCTGGTGGCTTTGGTCCTATTTGAGCTATTTAAAATGCACCTGTAAAAAACATGTCCAAGAGATTAAATAATTTTAACCAATTTCATGTCAATAATTGGCAAATTACCAAATCTTCTGGCCTCTGAAAGAAACAAGGCAAATACTGGTCAGACCACAGCTCTGGACGAGTGGCAAGTATTGGCTTTAAGCAGCTGTATAGTATGACATCTAAGGAAATGTTGGGGGAAATGTTGGGAATTGGGATCAGCATGGACCTTTGCCACCAGAGATCATGTACTTCCTGATATCCTGGGATGCAATGGGCCTATATACCGGTCTTTTACCAGCCAGACCACCGGTCTCATGACCTTTCTAGCCTAAGGGTTTATTCTTCATGAGCTGCATCTGTTCACTACCTTGGACTCAAAAAAAGACATGATTCTCAGCCATCTCTGAGAAAAATCACCTTGAATAATTGTTTCATTCAGAGAATGATGGATTATATACCCACTGTAATTCCTTCTCTTAGACAGGAATTGAATGAATTGTGAGACAGAATTTTGCATCTTCTTGAGTAAGACAGGATGTTCTAAGAGTTGTAGAAGCTCCGTGTGTAGAATCATTAAGATTCTCCTTTTTTAAAAGAGGTAAACTGAGATCAGGAGAGGTATATCAGCTTTTGCAAGTTCACAAGAAGTTTAAATTGCAGTCAAGAATATTGTTAGGGCTCTCTTCTGTACTGTCTAACAAATAGACTCCAACATAGAAATGTCAGTTTACCTGTGATATTACATATAATTTTGTCTTCTGTTTAAGCACATACATTTTTGAGAGTATTTAATATGTTGTAGTATCTGTAAACTTTATGGAGCCAAAGTATTATTCCAGTTAAAGAAGGAGAGCATTCAAAGTGCAATATACCAGACAAATATTGTGTGGGACAGTATGGGCCACATCTAAGGTTTCTCTTGCCAACATCCTTAAAAAAGATGCTAAATCAATACATGGAACCATCTACAAGGCTTCCTTGGGTGCAACATCTCAGGGAAACATAGAAAGCTAATACATTATGACTTAGACTTTTAATAGGTGATGGAATCCCAAGATGTGAAGTCAAACCAGGAGGAAAAAATAAGGATGCTGATGTATAAGCTGTCAAAGTAGATGGAAGTAGAGGCCACATCTGGAGAGATTATTCCCAAATCCTGGTGCAGGTAGCTACAGCTTTAAGAGGCAAGAGAGAGCATTTAAGTTCTTGCTCACCATTGTCAGACTGAAATATGATATGTGTATTATTTGATCTTTTGTCTATAGCTCCTATTTTGTAATACCAAGTTTAGAAGCCTGCCTTCAGGTGAAGAGGGAAAGAATCTGAGCAGGCGTACTCAGTTACATTTCTGGTATGCAGTTGATATTCAGCAAGTATTTGCTATGTTAATTCCCAAATCCAAATGTTGACCAACTCAATGACTTTCCTGAGGAGAAGAGAAGCCTTAAGTCTTCTTCTGATAACAGTGCCATCATGACCATGTAATTCCCTCTGTGTGATACCCATACCAATATCTTTGTTCCATGACTTCACTTGGGATTTGATTCCCTCTAGTTCAGTAGGCTTTGCTCTTCTAGACAACCAAGCACCAACCTTTAAAAAGCAGGCATCTATAGTAGGACTTGGGATTTTCCCAAGACAGTGGTTTCAAAGTCTGATCTAGGATGAACCCAGAATATTGAATTTAAGGAGACTCTTATTTCTAGGTTGAGACATATGTAGTCCCTGCATTGACAAAATCTGAGTGTGAAGGGCTCTTTTGCAGGCAAATTTAAATGTTTCTACCAGAATCACAAAAAGGGCTTTGTCAGAACACAAACTACTGAGAGTAAGCCTGAGAATTTGCATTAATGCTAAGTCCTTGTTTGGTGCTCTTGATGCTTCAACTCAAGAACTGCACTTCCTGAACTGCTCCTTTAAAGACTACTCTAAGGAAGTGTCCACAGAGGTGATACAAAGTGGAGAAAGGAAATGAAACCTGCCCCTCCTGCAGTTCCAAGCAGCTCTTCTTCTGGCTAGATTCCCATGCGGTCTTCAGAATGTTCCTTAGACTTTGTTCCAATATCCTCTTTCCAAAGGGGCTTTAAAATCCATTCTACGAGAGCTGTTACTAGATTCCTTTTCCTTCCAAGCTCTCATTGTGTCTGTCTCTTAGCTCATCCCTGCTTCTACCTCAAGCAAAGCCTTTGTGAATAGAATGGAAAACAGATTTTCAGATGTGGAAGCAATAGAGGATTTTGTTTGGAAGGGAATGTGATATTTACGGCTGCTAGCAAAAGTAACATGTGATTTTTGTAAGGAGGATAGTTGCCTTTCTAGCCCCTGAAGAACATTACAGCTTGATCTCCCCCTCTAGAAAACAAAACAGAAAAGCATTCCCAACCTATAGGTGATGGT